ATTATTCTATTTTTCTTCTTTAAATCCTGAAGAATTTCCTTAACCAAATCTCTCTTTCCTTTCCTTTTTTAATTTTACCCTTATTTTACTCAGTTAGATAAATTAGGAATATCAACTTAGCATGCTACATTTACTAACCGAAAATATATCATCAGTGTTCTGTAAAAAGAGTGAATTCATCAAATTTTAGTTTCATAACACAATAGCTACCAATTTGTAAATAGAGAATCATTTCTTCAGATTCTCTCATATAAGAATGGTAAAAATATCACTTTCATTGAAAAAGGTTTTTGTTTTTTTAAAGTAGTGGATTGTTTGGAATCATCCTTTTTATATAACAAGATACAAGATGATAAGAAACAAAATGAATATATTATCCAAAAAATATTAGTTAATCTAAGAAATATATCATATGATAATGTTAGAAAAGGGAAATAAAAGTATTAATTTAATAAATGGTGAAAATAACAACTAATTGCAAGATTTGTCATTATTTTTTTCATATTTGGATGAAATGAGAAAATAGATGTAGCATTTTAAATTTTTTGAACAATTCTAAAATATTTTGATTGATTCACAACATGAATAAATAAACAAGAAACTGTTTATAAGAAATAGATGTTATAGGGAAATAAATGTATTACTTTAATAAATGGTGAAAATAACACATATTAAGAAGATTTGTAATTTATTTTCCTGACATTTGGTCGAAATGAGAAAAAAAAGGGAAGCATTTTGAATTTTTGGAACAATTCTAAAAATATTTTGTCAATTTACAGAATGAAAAACGAGTTCTAACTATTACATGATGAAAATTTGAAGATTTAGGGTAAAATAGAGAAAAAAAGGAATTTTTAAAAATATTTTGGACTTTTTTTTAATATTCTGATGAATTTTCAGCATGAAAATGGTCCAAAAGTGTCTCGGATGCATAAATTCGGAGTTGAAAATCTTTATTTTACATTAGGATGGTAGGAAACAACAGGAGCTCACTTTTCGAGACGGTCCTGATACCGATAGTGCTACTATCTGTTGGCAGAACATAGGAACTACGAATTTTATTTGAATTTCTGGCAGAAAATTCGTCGATTTGTATCAGGATATTAGGAGGTCGAAGGAGCTCACTATTCGGGCCGACCAGGAGCTCTAGTAGCGCTGCTATCTATTGGCAACACCTAGAACTAAAATTTACATTGCTTCCTTGGATAGTGCTGGCCTCTTGCGGCAGCTTTGAAAACTACGTTTGAGTTTCATATTCCTTCCATTGGTTCCCTGGTTAGTGCTGCTATCTTGCGGCAATTTTTTAAACTAAATACCGTTTTCGGTTCCCTGGATAGTGCTGACCTCTTTTAACGGTTTTTAAAACTTTTTACGTTTATTGGATGGTGCTGCACTCTGTTTTTGAGTTTTTAAACTACTATTCAAATGTTTTGTTGAATATATTATTGCTACCTTTGTACAATTACGAAAACTATTATTCGAACCGTTTAAACTTATAAACAGTCTAAAATGTTGCGTTTCCATTGTGTTATTGTTTAAATGTCTGTTAATTTAATTCTTAATGGGACAGGGCTTGAGAACCTTCCATAATGTGTTAATAATTCTGTGAAATATGTATATTGTCTTAAAATGTTATATAGCATAAGTCATTGTCTGATTCTCTTATGTATTAAGTAATTCCATTATTTCAAAAGATTTTTTTCATTTGAAATTACAGAATTTAGTTTAATTATTTATCATGAGTTTCTCAAAAGAGTACATAGTGATTGAAGTGATGTTTTGTATGTATCTAGAGGTAGTTACAGTGAACTGTTTTCATAAATACTGATGTTTAGTAGTTGTGTTTTATATTTTCAAATATATATTGTAAAAGGTAATAGAAGAAAACAAATAAAAGTGTTTCTCTAACGTGTACTAAGTGAGTGAAGTGGTGTTTTGAATGTATCTAGTGATATCGACAGTGAACTGTATTTATAATAACAATACATATGTAATAGTTTTGTTATGTATTTTTAAATATATGTTAAAACATAATTGAAAGAAACAAATAAATGTATTTCTGCGAAGAGTTCTTTTTAGTTTACCTCATTCTACCTTTGCAATCAATTTCTGATGCTCATTTCTGTAAGTATTTTTAACTAAAGATAAAACTTATATTATCTGAATGTGTATCTGATTCAAATTTAAATTGTTTTTCAAATGTTGAAGGCAGCTAATTTTCTATCTATCAAATTATTCTTGCTCTTAAGGTATAATTAATTCTTGGTTTTCTTATTCAAAGTTGTTCTTTTAAATTTTGACACTGACTTTCATTTAAAATCTTTTGATAGTTGAAATATTAACATTTTAAAGATATTATTTGAAAATTATCTTTTGCTCATAGTTAATGATATGTACATTTTTATTGATAGTCTGTAACTTAACATGGAACAAATAATCAGAATTCAGTCATTATTTTATTACAAAATACAACTTTCGACTGGAACGTTTTGGTCTTCTTTGATTTAGGCTATATTGTAATCAGGTATACAACAGATTTGTTAATATATGTAGTATACTCATAAATAAGTAACAAAAAGATAACCAATACAAGTAAATTAAGGATAAAGGGAGTAGTAAGAATATAGATAATAATAGTGATACGTATTATTTTACTTTTTTTATATCCTCATTGATTAATTTATCGTTATTTACTTCTATTATTTTTCTTTTTGAATCAAAGAAAAGGAAGGTAGAAAAACAAAGAGTCTAAAGTTCAATTTTTTTTTTTTTTTTGTGGTATATTGGGGTTGTAGTATATAAAACTTTTACACTTCTAGACAAGTTTATTTATTATATACATTACAAAATTACATACAATATTTAAGAGAAATAAAAATAACCAATTATATTACACTACATTTTTCTCATTAATAATATATATTTACTACATAAAGAATACAAGTACCTAAGTTAAATTCATACTGTAAAGACAAAATGGATAATTTATAAAACTAATACTTTTCAATTTACTAACTAGGTCTTCTACAATTGAAAAGCTGATAAATTAATTTATATATAATTAAAATATAACAAAATTCATGTTTCTTTTTAATTGTATATTGATCTTCTGAGTTTGTTGAACAAATAGAAGATACTTGCTCGTCGTTTACAATATTCCTGTTTATGATGAAAAGTTCCTTGATCATCCAACATACTCAGTCCATCTGGAAGATCTTGGACACTATGAAAGTTTTAATTAATATAATTAAAAAAGGTGTCGCGATGAGGTGACATGAAGAACTTTGGCAACCAAGACCTTGGTGCATGATCGAATAATTTGTCATACTGGATATTTGCAACTAGCATCTGAAATTTAAAAATCTGTTGTGGTGTGCGCATCACACAACTTTCACTTACTGCTCTCTAAGCAGAAACAAGTATTTTCAGACAAAGGGAAGTGAAAATAAAAATTATAGACGGTATGAAACATTATTTAAAACACATAATTACTATATATTTTTCATAGTCGTCTAATGTATTATATTTATTTTGTTTGACATCAGCCATTTCCTTTTACAACTGTATATTTCAATTATTTATTTGATTACAATAAATAATTAAGTGTTACAAAATATTTTATGGATGTGATTGGCTCATTTGTTATTTTTGAGGGGACAAACAAAAATCGTATGCAATAAAGAAATATAAGAAAGTATGAAAGTATTTTCAATATTCGATACAAAAAAAATTTATTTAAAGAGTTAAACAAAATCAAAGTTTAACTACAAAAATCAAGATTGAATTTATATTGATGCAATCTGCTCATTTATTATTACAATTACTTATATGATTTTAATTAATGAAATCCCTTTTTTCAATTTCTAATTCAAGATAAAGTTATCAAAATGCGCTATAAAAAAATATAATCTAATGCCTCTAACATAAAATTCATTTCAAATAAACTCCATAAGGATATTGTTATATTATTCCATCAGAACAACCCATAATTATAAAAGTACTATGTATATATGTTTATCATGTTGTATATTATTTAGTGAACTTTTATTTATAGTTTCTTGTTTCATAAAGTTATTTAATGTTTTTTTTTTTCTATAGGCAAACAAAAAGTGAGGGTAAAATTGTTTCTCCTACAGAAAAGTGTTTAAGAATAAATGTATTTAAATATATCTACTTAATTTTATTATGTGTTTTAATAATAAAATACATTTTTGGTTTGTTTGCGCTTATATTGAACTTTGTTTCCTGATTTTTCATATCAGTTCACTCCTTACATGTAATGGAAGATTTAGGTTACGTAATATATATTTTCTTAATAACCTTTACTACTATGTGCTATGTGCTATGAAAGGAACTAAAATTGAAAATCACAAAGAAATAATGAACCCACATGCATTTATGTTTGTATGCATTTATGGGTGCTTTTATGCATACATATTTTTTTTTCATTGTAATAAAGAAAAACTCCCATTAAATGGAGAATTTGAAGTGTTTAATGTTTTTTATTTGAACATGATCTTATGAAAATACATTGGTATGGAGTAATCTAATCGGAGACAAATACTCATTCATCCTACTCACTTGAAAATAACTGCAAAATTTAGGTCAAGTTTTCAGGTCTACTTCTTGAAGGAATATTGTAAGTGTTGGCAGGGCACGTTTAATATTTGATTACATCTTTTCTATAACTTCTGGTTTTCAGGTTGTATTTTGAATCTTGAAATCAAGTTGATCAATTCACACTTATTCATAAAGTACACAGCGATACATCATCAAAGTTTATCAAACATTTCTGTACTCTGGAGGTTAAGAACAACACCTCCATTTTTGTATTTGTTCATGGAAACCAATTTGCCATAACTTTATGGCTATTAAAATTTGTTTCTTAGTAAATAAAGTATTCAATAAAATAATGGACATAGTGTCCTTTATCTCAGGGGCACAGATTTATAATTTCTGTTTTGTATATTTAGGTAAATTTCAGGAAATAGATAAGAAAGTTTTGTTTGTTAGAACATATATTTGATATATTCAGTATAAAAATAATTACAATTTCATTAACTTATTAAAAGTAACAGCTTTTGACTTTCATACAATTAAGTTTTAAAACAGGTAAACATCCCTTTCAAAGGGAATTTACCTATCCTAAAACATTTTACAATAGGTATTACAATAATCATAATGTTTTTAACAATTAAAATGTACAAAATGACACTCCTTTTGGCACTACTTATTACCTAATTGAAGAGTAGTTCCATTTCAAAAAAAATAACAACATTGTACTCTTTTCAAAACCTACTCTTCAGAATTAAAAAAAAAAAAAAATGAATAATAAAATATTTACAAAAAACGTCTACAGCACCCTATCACCTAATACTAGGCAGATAAAATAGGTAATGAACATCAGTGTTACTTACAAATTATAATCAGTACATGATAAATACAATGCTCATTAAATACTTTATCCATTAACGGAAATATACATTCTTAATTATAAATTATTCTCAACTAAATACATATAAATATATACATAAAAATACAATGTCTTTTAAACAGACATGGAAGTTGAGGTGTTTGGTAAGTATAAACATTTCTTGTCAACTACAATATATTATATAATGGAAATCATAATTCATCATTATTAAACTTACCAATTGGTTTGTTATAAATTAAAAATATTTTATTTTTAGTCAAGTTATATTCGAAGTTATACAATAAATTGTTTGCTATTTTTAATAATACACTCGGTCTATTATTCTAGACTTATACTTATGTCTCTATTTCAGAATAATAAATAATTTTTTTATTTCGTCTTCACTTCACTAATTCATAGAAAAACACTATTCTGGCAAGTCCTAGCACTGTAAATGCATATAAATTATTATCAATAAGTCGAATAATAAACAAATTTTTAATGAGTGGGGTTACTTACACATAACAGCTGATTCGTTATTATAACGAGTCAAAGTTTGAAATATCACTGCCATTGCTCTGAAAAAGTAAAATAATTTTCAGATTAATGATTTAAAAGAATAAAATAAATAATCAGTTAATATAAATATATAAGTTATAGTAAAGTATCTTCTATTTTAATTTTAAGTATCTATTGTATTAGCAACAAAGGGGACAAAAAATTATACTGTTATTAAGTTTAAGCGGAGTGAGTGACTTTAAATAACTATAACACCTTTATTTTTTAAACTGAATTTTCCTAGTCTTCAAAAACTAATAATAATAAAATAACATTTTAAAACATAAATTAAACTGGAATTATACAAGTAGTATTAGACAAGTGTTTCTAAATTTTTTTACTGATGTTATCACTTAAAACTTGACAATATTGAAACTTTAAAATTTTCAATGTTCAAGCTTTTTTAAGCTTTTTAAATTGTAATTTAATTGTAAAGTGAATTGTAATTCACTGTTTCTACAACAAAACATGTTATGGTTGAATGGGTAAGTGCACACTACACACACTTGTTTCACAACAGAGATCTGTACACCCCTACTATCATGTTTTGCCAGGGGAACAGTGAACTAACGCTTACAATCTAAAAAATTTGTTCCATTTATTGCAAAATTAAAAAAAAAACAATTGAAAGATCAATTAACAGGTTGGAATGGATTTCCTTACAACTCTTTAGAGTTCATCATTGGAAAACTATCATAGCTAATTTGTAATACATCAGTGTTTAGAGTTCATAATTTATAAAGAGCAGGCCATACCATTTCAGTATGAATCTAAGGATGCAATTACACATTTATACACATAACTATATATTTAGCAAACAAAAATATTATAATAAATCAATAAGTATTAAAACATATACAAACCCTATCAGGCTTGAAAAGTTGAGATTGTGGCATAACAAATGTTGAGCCGATATCCCTCTCAACCATTGTATGACTATCCTGGAAGCAAAAAAAATTGAGAAGTTTAGCAGCCTGAAACTTGGATACAAATAAAAAGCAAGATGTCAACTTTGTACATGCAGGGAAGGAATAGTTAACTAGAGTTATAATAAAAACGAAATAGGTTTATCACTTGGTAGTAAAAGTTAATAATTAATGGCTAAGCTAGTATTCCAGAGTAATCTCAAAACAGTGGAATAAACACTATTATATCATGCTTAACAATATGTTTTAGGACAAGATCTCAAAATAATATCTTCAATAGGCGGAGGGATGGGGAAGATACTATTGATTTATTAATGATTATTATAGTTAACTTTGATTTTAAAGGAGTAATATAACACATATCATTTCTTTCGACAACATCACTTACATAAACAATTATTAACTTCACATAAAAATAAATAAATATTGAATTGTTATATACATACATCATTTTTGTCATAGGGATTCCTTAAAGTTTTAGTTGCAGGATGTATAGTAGTTTCATCATACGATCTGGCCTCAGACACAGTTCTAAAAAAAAAGAAGCAAAACATAAAGTGTAAAATTAGATGACATCTAATTATTATTATATTTTATAATATCAACATCATTTTTTTGGAAAGGCTTAAGTGACATTTAGAAAACTTTACGGGAAACATAAATGCTTTTATTCACCAAATAATATTTTATTGTATACATGTAAGTGTATTTTTATATTTTATCATGGCGATGATGGGCACTACTGCTAGAGAGAAATAAGCCTTCTCCTACCCTATTAAAAATATTAATTTATTTTATTTCATTTATTACATTTAATTTAAACAGTAGGAATTTATTGAGGTAACATAACTTTAACAGTCACAATATACTAATAAATTTACGCCTCGTAATAAATTAAATCCTAATTTTCCTACTTTTTGGCACTTAAACCTTTTTAAAAAAAATAATATTGATATGCAAAATAACATCAAGAATTCCATTACCAAAAGATAAAGAAGAAACTTAAGGAAAATGCAAAAAGGAAAAAAGTGTAAAGAAAAATAATCTTGTAAAACTCCATTGATAAGAATGTCTATCTGAATATTAACAATAAACATAATAAGTGTTAGAAGAGAAAGTATCTTACAGCAAGTCAATTTTTGTAGTGTCTAGAAGTTCTCCCTCAAGAGTTGGAGGTGGTGGATTATCCACTATGATAGAACTGTAATCATAATACAGGCAGTGCTTTTATAAGTCATGAAACCTTCAATATTCATGCCAGAAAAAAAAATTTAGAATTCAATTAATTATGGAAAAGAAAAGATATTAAAGGTCTTAGTGCATGAAATAACAGAAAACAATCCAGTGACAAAATAATAGGCTCATAAGAAATGGATCCTTACCTATCAGCAGTTCTTATTGTGCTGAATCCAGGCTGACCAAGATCAGTGTGCGGTTCTGCTATGAAACATTCTTGAAGTTCTTTTGTTCTTCCAACTGTCGCAGAAACTTCAAACCCAGCAGATACAAGTGCTCCTATAACACATAGTACAGCATTACAAGATGCAATACGAAGTTATGAAGAGATAATCATGAATAAATTTTCAGGATAATAAAAGATATAAACAATATTATATAGTATAGCTTTATCAATTGGTGGAACTATATTTCTTTGTTTCTACATAGACTGTCTAATGAACAAGCTTTTTTATTCCCTCATCATAAAAGCAGCGAATTCAAAAGGAATTAAATCTTTATAAGATACTCGGTGTAGCCACATCAATTTTAAACAGTTGGTAGATCATGAAACAAGTTAAGGGCTAGAAATGAATAGATTAAATAGATGACATCTATTTACAAAGTTGTTTGCTGTAAAAGGAAGTCTGGCAAATATATTTCATGTCAACAATTTACCACTTTATTCGGATGAAAAAGTGAGTACAGAAGGAGATATGTAAAAAATTTTTTTAATCTTTATTACTCATCACATGTTCAGTTACAATTGTGATTATTGAGTGTAATTTGTAATAAGCTATTTGTATTTAATTTAATTATTCTTTCAAAATAATAACATCAATTTTCTAACTAACACACACACTTATATACACATTTTTTTTCTGTTGGCTTTTACAGACATTGTAGATCTTTTGACATCTTAACCAGCCCTTTCCATTTTTGCCTGTCTTGGACAATTGCTTTCCAGTTATTTATATATAACTCTGCAGTATCTTTGTTGAAACATTTACGTTATTCACAAATAATAAAACATATATAATAAAAGAAACATGATAATTGAAGCATTGGAAGCAAAGGCTACGGGAAGAGGAGAGAGGGGCTTTCGGGCTGAAGCCCCCCAAAATGGTAAATTAAAACCATGTCTTAAGAAAGAAATATTAAAAAATAATCTCTAAAAGTATTATTATTCTTGTAATTACATTTAATAGGACTTCAAGAATCACTTAAACACCATTTAATGTAGGTAGTTAGTTTCTTTTTTTTTCTTCCAAAGTAATTATATATATAAAAGTTTTCGGGCTGAAGCCCCTCCCAAAATTAAATCTTGGATCCACTAGTGATCGGAGACTTAAATTCCAATAGAATCTGACATATTGTTTCTATATTCCTCTTAAATGGCTACACAAAAGATGAGATCTTTCTACTCTTTTATGCCTGATTTTTTTTTTTTTTTTTATGTGTTTACATTTTGGAGAATTTAGCTAAAATTTTTCTATAATCTCATTTTGAACATCTCTATTTGTAATATGCATTACAAGTAATTTTATGTACCCTTTTCTACAACATTCTTCTTCATGTAGAAAGCATTTCGGTATTAAAAACGATTGTGTAGTTCTTTGATTTTTCAAATAACTCAACAAAGATCAATTATCTGACCCAATCACCAATTCTTGTATTAATAATTATTAATGATCGCTGTGAGTTACTAAAAAGTAACTGGTGCACCAATTCTAAAGTTCACTATTCACTCTTGCCACCCATAAAACCGACATTTTTGGAAATAAAACCACAACTGGGGAATAATTAATTTACTTAACTAAAAACCATTGTCCTAAAATATATATTATGTATGATTTCGATCCATTTATTCCTGAAGCTTCAGAATTATTATACAGTAGATACCAATTTCTTACCTGTTGATGGTTTCCTTAAATGTGGAGATTGAGGTTTCTTTGGAATCTGATGCTCCCTTGAAGCTTCATGAGAATGATTGGTTGAATTACTTGGCTTTCTGCTTGTACTTCTTGATCCCTAAGACAATAAAATAGTGAATTTAAAGCGTAACACAAAATTCAAGTTCTGCATTAATATTTATACATTTAAATGAATAAAATGTTATAAAACTGAGAATGGAATAATATATAAAAGAAAATGTAATAAATAGTATTGGTTAATGCTATAAATAATGTTGGTTAATTTAGAACAAACATTTTAATAACAAAAATTGATTTAGTTTATTATTCACCAGGAATAATAAAAATGTTTATCGAAAATTTATTTTAGCTTAAGGCATAAAAGTTCACCGAAATCCAAAATCAAAGAAGTAGCCCAGTGAAACATGATGGAGGGTTATTCTGGAAATATTTCTATAACTACCTGAACATAAAATTTTCAACACATCAGGATAATTAACTCAATATTTTTTATTTTTATTTTTTTTTTGTGCTGACAATATGAAAGTATAATTTTTTCTTTCCCATTTTATTTTATACTCAAGAAAGAAAATTTCACACATGATTTAATCTTTCTGCCTTATTCATCTGGAATCTAGATACCTGATCTCTTTTATTTCCAATTTCTAGTTCAAACATCCTACCGAAATCATTAGTGTACTTTTGCTTATGGATATTATTACATTTTATTTTTATGGTTCAAACTTTTTTCTTGCATATTTGAGGAATTTTTTTTTCTCTTATTTTTCTTGGGAAATATTAAGAGTAATTTTTTTTTCATTATTTATTATTATTTTTTTTATCATCCTTCATTTGTAGCACGTATTTCCCCTCACTTTGCCTACGGTTGTTCGATATTTCCTCGGATCTTTGCTGCACAAAAATATCAACTCTTGGCAACCTTTAATTTTATTTAAACATTTTGTTAAAACTTCAAGTACCTGGTATTTTATTCAACTCAATATTTATTTTTTGAAATTGATAATGCTTATTTTTTTCTTTGACAAAGCCATGAAAATTGCTTTCTTATTAAATTATTTTGCTTTATTTTAAAAATATCAACTGTTAAATATGTTTTGCTACAATAAATGTTCTATGCAAGAAGAGTCTCCGGAAATGGTGTTCTCCACAAAAAGAGCACATCACTAGTTATGAAATTTTTTAAAATAAATTCGAAATCCACTTTTTTTTATCAAAAATGCTCAGCACTAGTTGGTGGCAGTGGCACACAGTGGGGCCAATTGCCGATCTAGGAGGATAAAAATAACTTTCAAAATATAAGAAATGTAATATAACATTCTTTTTTTAGATAGTAGGTGACCAGAAAAGTGGCCTAGTAAAATTTCAAAGTTCGTTTAAACTCTCACAATAGGGTACAGAAGAGGGAGGTTTGGTTAAATAAAAATAAATATTTTTGGGTTAGTCATAGAGCAACTTTAATTTCAATAAAGGTGATAAACATGAAACTAACTCAAGGTACTGAAAGCAAATATTAAAAATGTTTCATGATTCATTTAAATCTGTCATTGAGTATGATAGAGAAGCCACATTATACAGCAAAAGGATAATCAAGGTAGAAGGAGACAGTAAGCTTACATAGAGCCAATATTTAAATCATATACCTGTTTGTCCGGAGTGAGATACTTGAGAAGTTTTTGTTCGGGTCCGAAGGTGGACATCGTAAGCAGATTGGAGCTAGGGACTGGTCTATATTTTGCTCTAGGTATCATAACTGTAAGAGATCTGTCTCTTTGTTCCATCGTCCCACCTCCAAAGCTGACAGGAGGTGAAGGAGCTTTGCTTGTTTTTCGACAAGGCTTTGGCCTCTCCACTCGGGGCTGAAAAATATTTAAACAAATTTTTTGTAAACAGAAAAAAAAGAATTGAAGAATGTAATAAACCCATAACTAAAATTGGAAACTTGGATTTATAAAGATAAATATACAGTTTATTTTACCCGATTATAATAAGTTGATTATATATTCTATTGATAGTTACAATTCATTGTTGTTTAATGAGACATTGTTTAACAAAGTAATTTTTATTTTCAAAGCCTTTCAAGTATTTTTATAAATGGGATGAAAATTATTGAAATTTAATTTTAATGACATATATAATAATATCATACAAAAAAGAGTGACTGGAGAAAAATTACAGTGATATGTTTAATGTTTGACAGTGGCAGTCTCCAATGGGATTTTTAACTCTGCATGATTCCCTAAAAGGCAAGGAAGGAGGGAAAAAAGTTTAATATTTAATAAAAAATAGCATTTATTAACAAATTTATACCTATGCTAACATATATTAGCATATATCTGAGTTATTTTACTATAGCTTATTTCAATTTATTTATCTTTAACTTTATTTTATTTTTGTTTCTTGTATATACTTTTTGATTATAATTTAGTTGTTATTTTGATATATTTTATTTATTTACCTTATTTGTAAATTTGGTATGAATGAATCTTTCATCACTATAACCAATGTTGTGAGTTACTCAATAAAATAATTTTTTTTAAAAATTTAGCAAACTTTGAATTTTTATCAATTGAAAAAATATTTATACCTGATTTAAAAATGGAGGAGGATCAATGCTTGCTTCACTAGCAGTGTCGATGCTGATCATAGCCCTTTTGTCGGGGGGCAGCGGTGGGCGCAGCCTGAAGCCCGGTGGAACTACTCTGCGAGGCTTTTGCCTTATACAAGAAAGAACAAGGCAAACTACCAAGAGCACTCCAAGGCTCACACCAACAAGCACCAAAATTAGAAGAAGGACTAAAATATAAAAATAAATTAAGATTTTTTAATTTTCCTACTACTAACATTGTGTAGTAATAATAAATTAATTCAAGGATTACCTTTAAGATTGATTTGGCAGAATTGTCCTGCATACCAATGGAAGCATTCACACATTTCTTCCTCTCCATTTCTCAAGTAACAATTTCCATGGTAGTTGCAACGTTCACATCCAATCATATCAGCTATAAATAAAAATATCAAGTTTTAATGAAACCAGAATGACCTGACAAATGTAAACATTTATTTTGTTTTTATAGACATTGATAAAAACATATCTGTTCATTAAATTATCAATTTATTTGTAACCAAATTAAATTTCTCAATCAAGGTTAGTGAGTTCTTCAATGTATACAATACTGTTGAATTTAGTTACCTGAGCAAACTCTTCCAGGGTACAATGTATTATGAGAAAGATCGGTAAAACCTTCCTTGCAGCTGCATGTATAAGTCCCTCTTAAATTGAAACATTGAGCGTTCTCAGAACAGTCGTGAAATTTTGGATCCAAACATTCATTAAAGTCTACAAAAGACACAAAAGAAAAAGAAAATAATAAAAGCCACAAAAACATTATTAAGTTATTATTCTATTATTACAAAATATAGCTGGCTTAATTATTGCCTTACCTTCAGCTTTTAAGTGATTGATGTTTGAACCAGAAGTATGAAGATCAGTACCACCCACGCTATAGTTACTTGAAAGTAAATATTTCCTGAGAATTTGGGCAATACGTTCATCATCTAAATTTTCTGAAAGCTATAATAAAAAAAATGAATAAGAGTTTATTAGAAACAGGAAGAATTTTAAGTAGATAAAATTTATGTAATCTGATATGAACTAATTTTGAGTAACAGTTTTTTTTTATTATAAATTTGTAAAGATTTTCACGATTTCTAAGGATATTTTCCTCAAAAGATACAAATGCCATAATATATTAATGTAATTATCAGGAAAATACTACTTAATTTATAAATGGTTTCTGGAACAAGAATATTGTACACATGGAGGGTTAGTCCCAGATTTATCAAAGAGTATATTGAGATGTATTGACATAAAATATAATAAATTGATGTTTGTTAAAAGCTCTTTGAAAAAAACTGCTGCATGATCAGATCAATTTGAATGATTTGTTCCAAACAGCATTGTATAGAAGATCTCCGGGCTTGATCTCTTAACTCCATACGCTGTTCTGTAGCTTCATAATCTTTGAAAATATCTAAATGTTGTAATTAGTTATTACCAGAGTATTATTGATAGGGATATAAGAAGGATTACTACAGATTTAGTCTATTTACATCATATGTAATAAAAATTTATAGATACGTTATGTTAGTTTACCTTATAATGATACATATAATAAATAAATTCTTTAGATCTGCATCATGTGTGTTTCAGTTAATTGAATAATAATATATTTATCCATTCATTTTTATTATTTATTTGATATTTGGATAATTATCCAGGCATTTTTGAGATGTTGTAAAGGTAAGAAATAATCATTTAAAAGGTGAAGTACCTGATTTAAGTACTATATATTATTTTTTAAAAATTTAGAACTATTAATTCCATTCATTAAATTAGAAATTAAATTAATTCATTTCAATATATTTATTCACGCAGGTATACATTATGTAAAGAAAAAAGTAAATTTAAATCCATTAAAACATATAAAGTTAATTTAATAAAATCTATTTTTAAGCATTAAGAAATACACTGACAGAACGTCATGTTTCTTATAAAGTTTTTTTGAACTAGTCAACCCAAATCCATTCAAGAGTACATGATAAATTATCGATCTCTAAACCGATGATTCAAATATTTTTCAACATCCAACACTACTTTATTTCAATAATAAAAATATTCAACATAAATGTCTAAGTTATTTTATTTTTGGATTGAAACAAAATTTATGGTGAACGGACCAGTTATGGATAGGGGGCCCAGTGATGGACATATTGGACTTTAAATATAAATAATTAGCTTCTTTGTTGATTTAAAGGTTCCAGTTTTTTCTAGAAAAACAATGCTCTCTATTGACAACTGTATGAACAAATTTTCCAAAAGAAAATTTTAAAATGTCTATCATTGTTTCGATAGTTCCATTGAGATCAGTGGGTATCATACCTTCCTACTAATAGTTTTGCTAAGGATAAGTTGAACGTTTATGTTATCTTATCTTTATAGGTAAATAAAGATTTTAGAATTTTTCTGAGGTATATCTATTACTGGTACCAACCCCCCTGTCCATTACAAGAACAATTGAAGTTCGGAGTATCCATCACTAGTGCAAAAATGTGTTTTTTAAAGTAGAGATTATACCTGCATAACTGAATATTTTTTCAATTTGAAAGTGTTAAATAGAAAAAGGAGACCGTAGTGATTCTAAATGTCCAATGGGGTTTATAACTATAATAATTACAACAGTATAATCCAAAAAACACAAAATTTTTCTTAGCTATGTCCATCACTGGTGCTATGATTATCATAAATAATATTAAATCAAGCACATTTATTAAATTTTCTTACTTGTATATAAAAGTTTGCCAGTACATTTCCTTCTTTATTATCTTTTTGGAAGCCAGTTACCGCCATGCCATGATAAACATCACGAAGCTCCGACTGCATTATCATTCTATCAAGACTTTCCCTTGTCACTTCAGCAAAATTTTGATATGCACTAGAACTACTATCAAGAAGAAAAGGTGCAAATGTAAGTTTGTCCTTTCCATTTCTCTCCAATGGTACAGTCATACTGTAAGTATAAGTAGCTGAAAAATTCCAAATAAAAATTAGTGAAAACGAAATAATATACCAAATATTTTCTAATTTTCAATACTTACGTTTACATGGCTGATCAGGGAACATTCTAGCGAAGCCAGGACGGCATACACACCTCAAAACACTATTTATTTTTTGACACCTTTCATTCCTGGTAGCTTTACAGTCTGGTTTACATTCACTTTGGGAATGAAATTGGGAAAGGAACCCACTAAGCAGAACATTAGGAGCAACTTCATTCACTTCCGTATTCGGTCCCTCGATTTCAGGCGCAGGTTCTAAGTTTGAACCAAAATTGTTCAGCTTTTGATTTGTATTTTGATCTGTCATGACGACAAGAATCGAATCATTGTCATTCATGTTGGAAACCTGCTGATGATTGCCAGATTTTTGTTCTTTCATAAACGTTCTGTCAGGAAGTTGCTTATGAATTTCCTGTACATCATTATATTGGATTTTGTTTTTCTCAAGCTTAGTTTCTGTTTTCGGTTGTTGTGTCGAAATGGTAGGATATACAGTAGTTGTTGCCTGAGGAATCGTAGTTGTAACAGTTGACAATATATTTGTCGGTTTTACTATGGTATGAACCTCTGTGACAGTATCAAGAACTGTTGACATTAAAGTTTTAGTTACAATGAGTGTGTGAGTTGAAGGCTTTTGTCCCTTACTGTGTATAATGCTGGATTCAGTTGTGGTTACAGTTGTGGTCAGAGTGTGTGTGACAACATGTATAGTAGGCGATGGGGAGATTGCCGGAGGCTTGTAAACAACATTAGACAATTTTAATTCACTTTCAGAAGTAATTGGCTCTTTCTCATTTTCCTTGACTGAAGTTTCTTCTTCAGTGGTGCTATTTTCAGTTTTTATATGAATAGGTATAATAGTTCGGTGACTTTGTACTACTCTTGTAGGTTTAATATGAAAGACACTTGATTTCTCGTGGTAATCTTTAAAGATGGTCGTTGAGCCAGAAGAAATTAATTGTGTTGGTCTTGTTATGACTTTTAATGCATGAGTTGAACTCTGTGCAATGTCATCGTCAACTACTGTTTCAGATGCTATAATAAGTTCGTTGGTGAAAGCAGCTGTAAATGTGTTTGGCTTCACATAAGTAGGAGACAGTTTGTTTTCTGATAATTGAGAATCAAGTTTGTTTCTATTATCATCTGATGGTATCTTGGGATTAGAATTTATTACCTTGCTGTCTGCTGTTATCACTTCAGGTTTTGGTGAGATTTCTTCAACTTTGAGAGAACCCCCAAGAATAGGATTGATACTCTCCGGACTAGAAGTTGTTGAATACTTATAAATTTCATTTTTTTCCATGGGAACAGTCTTTTTCTGGTGTGGAGTAAAATAACCAGTTTCTATCGGATTTGGTGGAGATAATACCTCAGTTGGAACAGGTGGTGGAGGTGGCATTTCTGTTTCAGGAAGTAATGGTTTTTTTGTCCTATCTGTTGAAGTTACTGGAAGTTCAAATTTGTAAGGAGGTGGAGGCCTTTTTCTAGAAGGAGGTCGCCATGTGGGAAGATGAATTTTGGGGTCATGAGGTCTTATAATAGCAGGTGGAGTTAAACCAGCGACTTCGGAATTCCTATCAAAAACGGGGCGAGAGGTATGCCTCACTGGGTCCATTTCAATTGGTGGAGGAAGTTCAAATGGTAAACCTGGAGCATGCCCAAATGTTTGGATCGGTGGTTTTTCATCAATATTCATAGTATATACAGTATTATCAAAGGGTTTAGGGTTAGTTCTATTTTGTTTCATTAATATTTGTGGCTTTCGAATTATAGCACTTGAGTGAACATTGTATAATGGATTCGAAGGAATATCTAACTCATCGTTTGGCTTCAAATTTGTCATCTGACCGACAGAAACGGTTGCTTCAGAATTATTGACAAATTTACTAACCCCTGGCTTACCTTTGATTATAGGAGGCTGTGTTTCTGTTGTATCAGATCCTAAAATAACTGGTTTAGAATTAATAACTGAAAAACTAACACCATCTGAAGTTCCAGAGTAGTTTGAAAAGTGTTGTGGAGGAGGCAATACTTTGATTCCACCAAAGTCTGAAGGTTCATTATGAGTCCTATTGAAAAACAGACCATGTTTTATTCTCATATCTTCGCTGAGGTCTACATCGAAATCCCCATCTTCTGCTTGATATTCATTTTTCAATGAATATTCACCTTCTTGGTCTATTAATTCTCCCTTTACTCCAATATGAAAGTTAATATCTTCTGCTACAAGAGAAGAAGGAAGTGGTGGGGGTGGTGTCATATAATCGAGTCCGATTCCTGAATTAAATGGCTGTTGAGATTTATGAACTGGTTTTTTGTAGTAGTGTTCACCATTCTTCTTTTCTTCTTTATGAAATCTTGAAAAAGGGTCCACTTGTGGAGATATTGCTTGTGGGGAAACCGGAATATCCATTTTAACTGCATTTACAGGTAAAATTGCTCCATGGAAAACATTCTCATCTTCTGGTTGAATTAACCCTGCAACTCCACCGATTCCAACTTCAGCATCAGGATAAGGAGATGGATCATTAATTATTTCTCCTTTTTGGCTAGGCATCTCTGGATCCCGGTTGTATATCAGTGCAGTTGGTACACCATGAGGAATAATTACATTGGCTACTTGTGATGGCTGTATATTCACGAATAACTGGTCTGCAAATGGTTCAGCAGATGGTAGCTTAGGAGATAACTGTTCTCCAATTACCGATGAATCTTCGACGGTTTTATTTGGTCGATCAAAGTTATTATATTGGGGCACCTTAACTGGTGAGTATACAGACTGTTCTTTGAAATAAGCTTCATTTGGTGAAAGGGTTTGGATAGCAGGAGGCCTAAGGTCGGCAGTATCGTCAAGGTATATAGCTGGCAGGTTAGGCCTATCCTTTAGAGTTGGCCATTGGTTTCTATGACCTTCTGGGGATACTTTATTTCCATTAGGTATTGGTTTTTGAAATATATCAATTGGTTTAGAAGAATGAAGAGCAGCTTCAAGAGGTTTTGAATGAACTTGAGTAGAAGGAAATTTTATTTCTGTTCCTTCATGTTTAAGATCAATAAAATTGTTTTTATTATGCTGTTTATGACTGATAGATGGTTGAACTTTAGCTGGAAACTGTTCTCTTCTCGGCGGGAATTTTTCTAATGGTTTATTCCTTTGTGGAATAAGATGTGCAGGATATCTGTCTTGTTCACGACGTGGCCATAACCCTTTTTGTGGTAAAGGAGGAGGCTTCATTCCTTCGACTTCTTTATCAAAATGTTTGTTGATGGGGGGACGTGGACCGTGTACTGCAGGTTTTCCAATAATCACATCACTGTTAGTTGTGATTACCTGACCTGGACTGATTGGAATGCCCCCGGAGAGTAGTGCTGCCTCAATATTAGTCCTGTCAGTTTGTCTTGTTCTCTGCATAGTATCAACAAATATATTTTGACCTTCCAAATTCTGACTTTCAGCAACATCAGAGTCTAAAGCGGGAACATATACAGGCCTAGGGATATCGTCGGGTATAGGTTTGAAAGTTTGGTGAAGTTTTGTTGTGTTTTTCTTTCCTGAGTTAAATTTATTCTGGAAAAGATCTGCCATTGCATTGAGAACCGGTCCCAATGCATTAAAGCCATTGATCCCTAAATTTCCAAATATGTCCTTGACAGGATTAGCAGTACTTGACATGGTTGAAGCAGAGCTAACAGGGTCGTCTTTGGATGATGGAGGATTCGTTGTATCTTCAGATTCAATTGAAGATACATCAGTAGTTACAATAGAATCTTCTATCTTTTCAGCTATTTCATAATGTGTCTTTTCAGTAGAATCAGGTGATTTGTCTTCATTATCATCTATTTCATCACTTTCATCGAAAAATATAATTGTTGATCCAGTAATTATATTACTTGGAGAAGTAACATCAATCATATCTACTTTGTCAGTTGCTTTTACCATACTGGCATCCATTGCTGTGATCTCCATCTTTCCTCCATCATCCATTGTTGCAGTAGCTACAATTGGCTGTTGATGATCATTTATTGAACTTCTCAACTCATCAAGATAATTAGAATTGAGTAAAGAAGCATTTACACTTTCAGTGACAACATTTTGCACTACTTTAGTGCTGGAAGATACAACAGTACTTGGAATTTTATTTTCTTGCAGAAGAGTAGTGAAATAAGTAAATGTCGTCAAATAAGTTTTAGTAGCAAATAAATTTAGTGGTGGGGTAGGTGAAGCAGTATTTTCCAAAGTAGGCTTGATTCTTTCTGGTGCTCTTGAAGGTGCTATATCAACTGGTTTTCTTTTTGGCTGAATCGTAAAAGTCTCTGTAGCAACATCAGAAGATGTTACAACTTCAGTATTTACAATAGTTTGTCCATCTTCAACTTTTGTATTGTAATATGTATAAGTAGCATAATATGTTTTAACAATATCAGTTGTTATTGGTGTAGGTTCTATAGCTTTTGATTGGACAGCTGATGGAAGAAAATCTGACTCAGTTATTACAACCTGAGTAAGAACATCTTCTGTGCTTACAATCTTCATTGAGTTACCCTCATTGAGTGTTTTTGTATAAGCTACCGTACTCAAATATGTATTTGTGTCTTGTAAAGATACCTCTGAAGGCTGAACAAATCCAGGTTGCTCAGTCACAGTATTAGACACAGTTTTTTTTGACGTCACAACAAGTGGAAGTTCTCCATCAACCAGAGTATTGAGGTAAGTGTACGTTGTATGATAAACACCAGTTGTGAGATCTGGGCTGGCAGTTAATGTAAAATGATCCTTAAGTTTTGTTTTTGAAGGCTTGATCTCCTCAGTGACGATATTCGACACCACTTTTTCTCTGCTTGAAACAACTGTTGAACCTTCTTGTGCAAAAGTAGTCAGGTAGGTGTATGTTGTCATGTATGTTTTTGTTACAAATTCATTATGAGGCTTCTGAAACAGAATTAAAAAATGATAAAATAAAATTGATTTAATCTAGTCACTATTTTTTTAATATTAATTTTAAATTAGTGATTAAATAAATGTAGTCCTACTAATATTAATATACTATTTTAATATCAAGTCAATGCTTATAAATCTTAGAAAAAGTAACCAAGCCACAAAACAGAAAATTATAATACATATCCAAAGGAAAACTGTTTTATAACTTACAACACACATATGAATAATTTATTCTCCAAACTAAACAATTAGGTTTCATTCTAGACTATAATTTTTATATATAGGTGGTTATATAAAAAATGAGAAACTATCAAATCATGAAAAAATAGGATAAAAAATGAATCCATTTCTAAAAATTCCATAAATATCCGAATAATTATTTAAGAAAAGAAAAGGATTTTTGATTTTACAGCATTATTAAGGTAAGTCAGATCAACACTGTACTTGCAATGCCAAGACCCATTTTTGGGAAGGCTTAATTTTAACCTAGGACCATTTGTCAGTCAACCCATGATGACAATGTCCATTAATTTTCTAATTTAAATTCATTGCTAGAATGTAGCAGCGTTAAAGATATGCTAAATTGTTCTCCCTATTTGTCATATTGAAAATGACAAGAAAAGTCAAAGTAAACAATAAAATATACTATTCAAATATTTACAGTTTTCAGCAAATCCCAATTGAATATTATAAATGACAAGAATCAATATAAATTACAAAAAATTATCAATTAATTAAGCTTATTATAAATAAATAACTATTTATACTAATTGACTATCAAGTAAATTACTTGTGATTCCTGAGGTAGAAGCATCATCATGTGATCAGAAAGTGTGCTTGGTGCTAAAGTTATAGGCTTCATTGATCCAGTTGGCACGATGCGCAGATTGGAATGTCCTGGTAGGGTGGCTTTGTTACCAGCAACTATCACTTCAACGCCATTTGACATTTTTTTTGTGGCTAGATTGAACCTAGGATGTTCTCCCAAATATGCTCTTCCTTCATCCATTCCGGCTGTTCGAAAAACAAATTTAACTGATAAATAGTTCAATAAAAGTTTAAACAGCTTGTGATTTATTACATTTGGTTAAAGAGAAGAACGTTTTAAAAATATATATTCCTTGTAGAGAATAATCATTTTCAAGAAAGGTCCAATTAAATGTGATTAACAGTATCTAATGCTGTCTGTATTTTTAGTTTTCGTTATAATGTATAATTAAATATATATATGGCAGAACTAGATCTTAATTATTTATGATAATATTTAAACAAATAGTCTAAAACAGTAATGATTAAAAATCAAGTTTGAAATTAAATCAGTTATATTGGATTCTACAATTTTGATATCCAATATAATAATAAATCTGTTTCGTTACTTCATGCAAATATGTTTCTAGTATCCCTCAAATTAACTATAACTTTTTAATTCATACTGTTTTCATCTAGGTTAATCCATATAGGTTACGACATCCACAAACAAAAATTAAATACAATCTTATTGAATTTAAAATTAGTATCTAATTAACATCTTTCTAAAGGTTTTGTTATTCCTTAAATATTGCAGAAACTTAATTATATTAATATACCTCATTATATCCCATAAAATGAGATTTTATAGAAAGATGAATAAAACAATAAATAAATAATGAGTAAGATGGCAATTGGTATTTTTTTTCAAGAATTAGTTATTTTGGTATCACAATAATTATATACAAATTAATTAATATAAGTTTTATATGAAATGTTAATATATATAAGACATATTTGTCATTTTTAGGTTTATGATTTTACATTTTTAATATGTTTTTATGTTAATATTTGTCATTTTTTGGTTTATGATTTTACATTTTTAATATGTTTCAAACCACATATTAAACAATAATTGCTGCTTATTTAATTATGCAAAGGTGAATATTAATAATATTCATTACAAAATGTTGTTTAACATGAGATCATTATTAATGTTACTATTTTTGGTGTTTTGTTCTAACATGTTATGATAAAATGATTTTCATTATAAAATCTGAGAAATATTTAAAACAGTTCATTGATGAACAATTGAAATTCAAAATATCAACAAATAAATCGATTACTATACATGAGCATATGCAGGGGGGCTTTCTACCCCTAAATAATTTCACCTAAATAATTTTAGTCAGACTAATGTCACCGAATTGTTCATAGTAATTATACTTAGGTGACTGAATGACCCAGAATAAAATTTACATTCTTTCTTTCTTGCAAAAATAATTTGAAAGAAAATAAAACATAATATAATAAAAAGGTTTGCCGAAAATTCAAGAAAACTAATTTTTAAAAATTGTTGTTCGATGTATGCGTTGTATTTTATATAAAAATATTTATAAATTGTAATAATAATAAACTTTTCCAAAAAAAATTTTTTCCATCTTGTCCTCAACCATTTATGAATGCTGGGTAAGCCCTTTTTTTAACACCCTCATTTGTCAATTCAGTTTCCAAAAGATGCATTGCAATAACCGAAATAGTTATTTCTTTCTCATAACTTTTATATAAAAATGTTTATGTCTTGTAATAGTTTTGTATTTACATGATCCAAAGAATAATAGCAATTAAGGACGTGGTATTTTTTGATAAATCCTATGTTCGAGAATGGTAAATATTTCTCTAAAAGAATTAGAGATTCAAGTTATGTTGAAGAACTAAGCTATATTTATTATTCTTTTCCAACAGCTCTATCTTTTAGTTTCAATCATTTCTCTCTCAATGTTTCTAAGCAGTTTCTATTCCTAATGAAATCCTGTTTTCCTATCTTATTCTGACCTCAGGAGTGACCCAGCATATCTTCTCTTCTCTCCAGCTCCTATATTAATGTTCTGCATAAATGAATCGTTTATTGTTTCTATCACCTCAATGTTGAAAATTCACAAACATATTAACCTTTTCTCCCTCTAAATTTGATTTTATGTTTGCCAAAAATCAAGAAGACTTAGATTCTATCAGCATCTTGGCAAGCTTAAATGGATTAAGGTTAAACAATGCTAAAACTCAGGCCATCCTCATTGAGCCCCAACCACTTCTCAGATCTAATATCACTTTTCTCATCCTATAACTAAATGACCATCCTATCCCCTTCAGTTCCTCCGTTAAAAAATCTAGGTATAATCATAGATCAAACCCTCACCTGGAATCACCATATTACTTATATCTCGCATCGATCAACTTGCATCCTAAAATTATTTCATTGTTTCCACCATCTCCTACCTAAACCCACACAAAGACTCTTAGTTTCCTCCCTCATCTTCCCCCATGCTAATTACAGCTGGGTGGTGTATGGCAGCCTTTCAGCAGATGTCAGAGAAAGACTAAAAAGGATTATGAATAGCCTCATCCGGAATGTTGAGTTAGGATGGCTCTTCTCCTCGTTCAGAAGTCAATACTTACTGAAGGTTATTAATACAGTGTCTGTAGGGGGAGACAGCGATACCAACAAGAAAAGAGGGAAACAATGAATCTGTGTAATTTAAACAGCTTTCCAAAACAGATACAGAAGCTGCTTAATTTAAACAGATACAGAAATCTGTTTCATTTAAAAAGCTTCTTGAAACAGATAAGTAAACAGTTTTCTAAAACAGATACAGAAAGCTATCTAATTAAAACTGCTTTTTGAAACAGGTACAGAAAGCTGTTTAATATAAACAGCTTCTAGCAAGAAACACAGAAACAGTTCTCAGAAACAGGTACAGCTCTACTGTTCTTTAAACTGTTTTTATGAAATTTCGGCCATCACATTGATGCAAACAGCTATACAGTCTCTGATCAGTGAGCAGTTTTATTAATTCATTTTCCTAATAATATTTTCTCATTATTTTCATCAATAAATTTATTTATCGCTTTTAAAATATCTTATGATTTAGAATTAAAATTTTAATACTAGTTTGACTTTTGTCAGCAACTATAAAAACAATTTTTTTGTCCTTCAGCTGATAAGTAATGAATGTATAATTAAAATATGACAATTAAATTGATAATTATTTTGGAGATAAAAATTAAAAAAAAAAAAAATTAAAATGTCATAAAGAAGGTAAGGGGTTTATGTGTGTGTGTAATTTTTTTTATAATACTTATTTTTAAAAATTTTGAAACAGTTTTAAAAGTATCTTTAAAAGTAGCAGAAACTATTTCTGCTGATAAATAGATGCAAAACTGATGATAAACAGTTTTGCCCATCGCTACTCCACAGTAGGATATCTTTTTTAAACAATTAAATGATAACTTCATTGCAAAAAAAAAAATACCAATTACCAACAATTTTCTTTAATCAGACAAAACTTTTTTTTTTGTGTTTAGTCGTAATTTTCTCTTTGTAAATATATTTAATTAATCCTATTAATGCCTTTTGACTAAAGAATAATAATTCATTAACAAGCCTAAGCAAAGAAAATCAAATAATGTATAATTTTTATATACTTGATCAGTTTCCAAAAAACCTTCATATTATATTATATTCAGTAGTCTAATGTTTCAATTTAACTTAATTATACAATACCTTTTTTTTCATTTTAAAGATCTCTCTCTCTCTCTCTCTCTCTCTCTCTCTATATATATATATATATATATATATATATATATATATATATATATATATACACATTTTTTTTTTTAGTTATTTAGATTTTGGATATTATTTAGATCTATAATAAGCCCACCCCTACCCCCACAACAGGTGATTTTTATTTTTTAAGGGGTTTCAAAAATAAATCTGACTGACCTGAAATGGTCTAGTTTTGCCACTGAATACAGGTAAAAACCATTCTTTTATTTATTATTTTTTTTCTTCAGATTTTGCCGGAAGTTATAAGGTATAGGTATTTAAAAACTTCCATATTTTCTTCCATTATTCTTTATCATATTCAATCCTAGTTTACATTATGGAGCAATACTAAAATTATTCTCATTACTAAATAGGCACATATAATTTTAATTATCTAATCTTATCTGCTTTCAAGGATACTTGGTCCATCTACAGAATGACAAAAGGGGTATTGAAATTCCGAAATATAAATAATAATTGGATGTTTTAAAGAATGTAGGAAGAAAATTTGGAAGTTTTAAAAATGTTTATGTCTTTTGTCAAATGTCTTATAATTTTGCCCCTTAATTTGACAGATGAGTAAATTAGGAGCAAACAGACAATCTTGAAAGGATTGCAAGACCAAATAAACACTAAACACATCAAGTAGATACATGAACACTATTTTGGATACAGAAAATTAAAAATAAATATTTATTTTGTCATTCTAAGTAAGGGAGAATGTACAAAACATTAAACAATTAATCCATAATCTAAGAAGAATAAGAGACATTATTATCCAATGCTTTGTTAACCAATAAGGAAATATTAGACTAATGGAGTTTTAGTTACCTTTAAATACTTTCACCACCTTAATATAGTTATAGTAAGTATTCGAAGAATTCAGATACAGTAAAAAATTCATAGCTTTGGATATCTTATGTACAATATTACTAGATAAGAAAGAATTATAAGATTAGATTTAATTCATGCTTTCTCACCTGGAGTGGTAGTGGTAATAGGTGCTAATTCTGTCACTGATATGGTTTTGATATCTGGCTTGACAGTTGTAGAAGATGTCACAATTTGCTCATTCCCGCTAACTCTTGTTACAACGTAAGTGTAGGTGCGCAACCTAGTAGTGGTGACTAGTTTTGTTACATACTCATATAAAATAGGAGTTTCCTCTTCTTCTTGTTCGCTAGCTATTGATGTTGGGCTGATATCAGTTTTCTCAGATGTTGAATGAGTTGGGTTATCCTTGGGGAGAGGTAGTTTTTCAGTGGTATATTCTTCAGAACTCGAATCAGTGGTGGTAATTGGTTTAGAATTTTCTGATATATTTTCTTCTGATTGCTTTGAATCTTGAAGCGATGTATGGGGTTCTGTAACTATTTCTGTTTCACTAGTTTTATTTATTGGGTTTATGACTTCAGGGTCCTCTGTTGGATATTCATCATAATTTTCATAATATAAATCATCATTATATTGTTCAGTAGTGAATGGAGTTTCATCAGAATGAGTAGTTTCAGGAAGTTTGTCTTTGTGCTCTTCAATGTCCTCCCCACTCTCAGGAATATCCAGAGGATTTGCTGTGAAATGCTCTTGTTCGTTATTATGGTCTTCTTCTTTTTCTTCTATAGCGCTGTTCTGGTCTTCTTCTTTTTCTTCTATAGAACTATTCTGGTCTTCTTCTTTTTCTTCTATAGCACTCTTTTGGTCTTCTTCTTTTTCTTCTATAGCACTATTCTGGTCTATCACAGGAAAATCTCCTTCTATCTCCTTCCCACTTATAGGAGTATCTGTGACTTGCTCTTCTTCATTATTTTGTTCATTGTCAAGATAATCTTCTTCAGTCTTCCCCCCATCAGAATCAGTGTCTAGTGGATTCTCAGTGATTTGTTCATCTTCATTATCTTGATCAATGCCAAAAAAGTCTTCTTCATTAAGAAGTATTATGTCAGGTATTTCTGGGCCATTCATAAAAACCTCAGACACTGTCACTTCACCATTACTTGAATCTGATGGAATCGAGTAATTATAATTGTAAAGTGTTGACATGGTTGCTTCTGAGGGTGAATCATTTATATCAATAGAATCTATAGTTGATGGTAATATAACGGAATTAATAGGTCTTCTCCTTGTGATTTTGATCCTTTTTCTTGGTGGGGTTATTTCAGTTGGTTGAATTTTTTTCTTGGTAATAAGTACCCTTTTTCTTTTTGGGCTTGAATATAGACCTTCATGTTGTATATCTGTAGCTTGGAAAGAAGAAATGGTAGGTTGATCATATGATCTTGTTTTAGTTATTACAATTCTTTTTCTGTAGTTTTTTGAGGTTGTTGATTCCAATGGAGATTCTATTTTTTTCTTAATAACTTTTACTCTTCTACGATTTTTTATTCCATCAGTAAAATTACCCCTATCAGGTTTCTGAACATAATCTTCATTATTCATAGATTCTGAAGGCTCTTCTCCCTTTTCATTTCTATATCTTTTAATAGGAACTCTAATTTTAATTCTTTTTCTAATTGGTTGATCTTCTGTTTCTCTCTTAATTCTAAGTGAATTGCTCCTGTTTAGGGCCGTCCGCTGTTCTGGAGCAGAATCAGCGGGCCCTTGCAATAAAAAATGACCGGTAGAAAAGTCTTCGGTATTTTCAGCGTTTACGGTGAACAATTTCATATGTTTTTGATGAGCACTATCCAAACTCTGCATTTCAATTTCACTGCTTTCTATCATCGTTTGACTAGAATAGGGCGCAGAATTATTAATTATCTCTTCTGAAGCTTTTAGTTGTGGCAAACGTGATACTGTTATCAGATAATCATCATCTTTCTGATCACTAATTCTAATTTCTCGTTTTCTTAAATTTGAAGTTTCCTCATCTACTAAAACTGTAGATAAAAGAGTAGTGAACTCGCCTGGGTGTTTCCCAGATACATAAACAGTTACCACGCTGGTTGGTTTTACTCTATCAGGAGGAATATGCTCTTTTATTTTCACCTTTCCTTTCTTTCTTCTTCTGTTTTCAATTTGGGGTAAATCGTCAGGATATTCTCTTATTTTTCGTTCCTCTTCAACATCCGGATCATCTCTTGAAGGAAACTGTAGTTCAGGATCATCTTCAATCAACTTATCGTTATTATTCAATGGATCTCTTCCAAAAAATTGTTGTTGAGGCTGTGGGTTTATAGCTGGTTGTGCTTGCCCTAACAGCTGAGCTTGGAGAAGTGCTGGCAACAGTAATGTGTTCAACTGGTTATTTATAGGCGCTACCGCTGTTGGGGTAATTACGATAGTTTCAGTCAAATATTCAGTTGCAGTGATGACTTGTACAGAACTGTCAACGATAGTTGTCGTTATTTCTTTCCCCCTAAATGTTAATGGCAAAATGGTAGAAGTATGCGAAGTAACTGTAGTGACATACGTGGTAGTTTTTGTTTTAAATTCGGTAGTTGGCGATTGAGGGACTTGCTGACTGTTAGGAATGCCCAAATTTCCTAATAAAAGTTGGGAAAGAAGTATATTGGCCAAAGGAGCGTTTGGCAAACTCGGTGTGACTGTGCTCACTTCAGTTTTAACTTCATAAACTGTACTAGGGACGATGTGGGAAAAGGATGTTTTGCGACCCCTTAGTGTGGTTGGAGTAAAAGTAACGCTTGTTGTAGGTGTTTCAAGCACAAAATATTTAGTTACTTCCATCAAACCATTTGCAAGAGTCGAAGTGAGTTCGTTTGTTAACTGAATTATTGGCTTTCCATCTTTAGTCGTTGTCGTATATTCATAAGGACCTAACACTTCAAAGCTAGGTTTAGCAGTTATAACGTTTTTATATTCTGTTTTTCCATTATTGACAACTGGAATAGTTGTTTCGGACGGAATTTTGTGGGTCACAGTAATTGTTCCATCGAATGGAGGTGGACTGTAAGCATCGAAATCGTTATCTCTAAACCTAGACCTCGACGTGGTTCGCCTGGAACTACTACTGAATCGTCTGCTGGTTGTGCGTGGACTTGCCTCGGTCGTCTGCGTTCTTAATTTCGGAGCTTTGGGTCTTCCGACTGTAGTTGCCTCTGTTCTCCTTCTGGGGGAATTTGTATTTCTTCGAAAAGTGGGCCTTTGAGTTCCAGGAGTGGTCTGACTTCTCTCCCGTAACGTAAACTGATGCCTTGCTGAACTGCTGACAGGGGAAGGGCGAACTCGCTCCCGCTGCTGAGGTTGTTTCGTTGCAGTAGGTTTTGGTTTTGTTTTATTATTTCTAGTTCTGTGGTACCTGCCAGAGGTAGTTTGCCGAGGCGGTTCAGGAGTTATTTCATATTCATCTTCATAATCGATAGTGGATTTGCGGGCAGAAGGTCTTCTGAATTTCGACTTATACGATCTTGTACCATACTCGATTTGTCGTTTTGTTCTTGGTCGTCTTGAAAATGGTCTGATTGGAAGAAAGCTTAAACCTTTACCCCTCCGACCTGCTGTCTTTGGTAGAACAGTAGTGGTCGATGATTGTTGCTCAGCAGTTTCTGATCCTTCATATTCATTATCTTCGATATCTTCTTCAGGTTGTTCATCCTCGACATCCTCTTCCTCTTCTCTTTCTTCTTCTTCTTCTTCTTCATTAATTGCAGGCTTTCGCTGAAGACCTCTCGGTAGGAAAAGACTGTTAGCTGGCCGTGGCCTTGCTTTGTTAAAATTAGGGGTTGGCCTTGGTCGAGATGTAGTTACACCAACTGCTCGAGTATCAGGTCGTCTTAAAAGATTACTTCTTTTTGTAGTAGTTGTTGGCTTGGTAGTAGTAGCTGACGTTGGCGCGCGCTGTAATATAGGTGGTCGCCTGAATCTAAGAAGAGGATTATTTGCTCTTCTTGGAGATTCAGTGGTTGTAGGTGCAGAAGTTGTAGGAGTTTCTTCATCTAAAGGAGTAATATTATCTGGTTCCTCTGTTGCTCCTTGAGGTCCACCTATATCATTATTTATTTCTTCTACTGCCGTGGAAGTGGGTCTAAATGCATTTGACGATGCAGTAGGTCTTATCCTTCCAAATCTTCCACTACTTGCCCCGATCGATGGCCGAACTACTCCTCCTGTTGTTCTGTAGTTAAAACTTGGCCGCCGAGATGGAAGTGGTGATACAGAAGGTTTTGGATTGGATGAAAACCTACCTTTAGAAGCTGAATACCCTCCAGAGCTAGGCCCACCTCTTGTTCTTGAACCTCCAAACCTTCTTGAGCTGGATGCTGTTGGTCGGATATCTTGAGAGCTGCTCAAGTTATTCGATTTAGATCTGTTTGAGGCAAATCTTCGGCTTGAGCCGAAGCCTTTGGTTTTTAAAGCTGGTGTTGCTGTAACAGTAGGTGTAAATGAGGTTCGTGTAATAGTGGTGGCTGGGTCTTTTCTTTTCGGATGAAAAGTTGGACGAGGTCGCGAGGCAAAAGGTCGAATGCTTGCTTTGGAAGCTTTTGTTTTACTTGCGAAATTCAATCGCGACTTTTGTTTGTTATCTTCAGTAGTTTCCTCACTATCCTCTTCCACATTTTGTGAGCTCTCAATTACAGACGAGGAAGGTAATGGAGAATGTATTGTCGGTGAAATGTCTTCGTTTGGAGTCGGGGTGGCCATTATGTTTGGAATTGATGTTGGTTGGACATTAGACTTAAAACTAGAGGTGCTCTCTATGATCTGAGCATAGCGACCATCAATCAAGGTACCAATAACCCTCGATTCGTAAAAAGTAGTAGAGTCGTCTTTAACAACGGAACCTTCAATAAGCCTCACCAAGCCCGTTGTGTATGTTTTTGATCCAATAACAGCTGTTGAAGTTATTGCTGGCATAGCAGTTTTTTTCTCTTCATCAACAATTATAGAAGAGGAACTTTCAATAATTTGAGCATAAAGGTTATCGATATATGTTCCGATAGCTTTAGTGGTGAAGAGAGTAGTAGAAATTCCATCTGCGTCAACTATTTTGCCTTCATTAATCGAAACAACACCCGTGGGTTGTGGTTCTACTTCAGTAGACATGCTTGCGACAGTTGGAGCAACAAGTTCTGTAGAACTCTCGAGTACTTGGGCATAAAGTCCATCAATGTATGTTCCGTAAACATCTGTGTTATACAATGTAGTAATACCATCATTTATTTCTGAAGAGCGAATAGTTGAAATTAATCCTGTAGGTTGTAATGGAGGAGTTGGAGTGGAAGCAATTGCTTCTTCAGCTGTTGATGTACTAACTTCTGCTTCGGTAGAGGTTTCTACGGCAGGAATTGGAGCAGTCGGTGTCACAACATTTGTTTCAGTTTCTAAATGACTGTTTATAACAGTTTCATTTCCAATATAAGATGTAGTGAAATAAGTGAAAGTTGTATAATATGTAGTAGGCTCCGATGGGTCAGAAACACTGGTTGGTACTATTTCTGGCACCGTTTGTGTTGGAGCAGGAGTTATTTCTACTGTTTCAGAAGGCATACTAGGAGATAAGGTCGGTGTGACGACGTTTGATACAGTTTCTTCTCTACTGGTTATCATTGTACTTTTACCTTTGTACAGTGTGGTCCAGTATGTGAATGTAGTGAAATATGTAATAGGAAGAGTAGCTTCTTCTGGACTAAGATTGGCTTCCAACTCGGTAGGCTTGAGTGTTTCTGTTACAACATTGGATATCGTTTCCAGGCGGCTTATTATATAATTGGATGTTCCTTTATAAACAGTAGTGAAATAAGTAAAAGTTGTATAACTTGTTTGAAGAATGATAGTGGGAGTTTGAGAAGGTTCTATTTCTTCTGTATTGCTCTCAGAACTTATTTGATCATTAGGGTCTGATTCGTATTCTTCCACAGGTCTCCTTCTACCACCGGAACTACTACTTGTTACATCGGTTACCATGGTTTCTACAAGCTCATCACCCAGGACAGGTGTCATACCAATAGCAAGCATTGCTTCCTTCTTTAGTTCTTCTTCTCTTGCAGAATTGACCGCCTCCACTGGAATATTAGGGTCAACAGATTGTGTTGCTACAATACGATCATCCCTGGCCATAGTTGTGTCATAAGCATAGGCTTCATCTATACTGGATTGTAGAGGTGGATTATATGGTGACATAACTAGCGCTTCTGAAGTTGGTTTATCGTTGACTTTTACTCTAGAAATTGTATCGTATAGTGGCTTTTTCTTGTTATGGTTGAAGATTCTTGGATTAATAGTTTCCTTGGGTACAATATTATTTTCATCAAGAAAACGGGAATTTTGCTGAATCTCGTTGGGAACCGATGTTTGGACGGGTTCTGCAACGACTTCGGTATGGCTTTCTATCAAAGTTTCTCCATCGACAAAGACTGTTGTTAAGTATGTATAAGTTTTATAAAATTCAGTAGAAGTAGGTTGGATTTCAATATCGCTTGATGATGGCTCAAGAGTATTTGCATTTTCAGCTTCACTTTGGTCTAAATGTGGAGCTTTTGTAGAGAAAGATTTCAAAAGACCAGCAACTGCAGGATCTGTTGCTTTCAAGTCAGAATCAATGGTCGTAGTTACTACGTTTGTTTCTACCACCTCTCTACTTTTAACACTAGATGTTGTTTCTTGAAAGAAAGTCGTTAAATATGTGTAAGTGGTGTATAGCGTTTTAATAATAATTTCAATTTCTTCCTCATCTTTTTCTTCAGTTTTCTCTGTGGTACTCATTTCTAAGGTAGTGAAACTATCTACATAATTATCTTCGGTAGTCGGGCCTTGTAAAGATGGCTCTGGGAGATGTGGAGTCGGCTCGGCAAATGATTCTTCAGTGGTAGAAGTGATGTCAGAGGTTTCTGTAGAAGGCTCGCTGCTGGTATTTATGATGCCTTCAGTTGCGGATATAGTTGATGAACCGCCCATATCTAAAGGAATTGAAGTAGTGATATATTTGATTTCGCTAGTAACAACTTCTCTTGACTTCACTGATGTACTTTCTTCTCCATCGGGTATGAAGAATGTCGTTAAATATGTATACGTCTGGTAAACAGTTGACGGTATAATGCGAGTGATATAATTGGCTTCTGGTTTGTCTTTTTTGTCTTCTTCTTCATCCTCTGTTGTCGATTCTGGTTCTGAAGCTGGCGTTGTTCCTAGAGTTTCGGGAGTGGAGTTTTGTTCGATCGATTCTTCAATCTGTTCAATATGAGAAGATGATGGGATGTTATTTTCTATAAATTCATTAACTGAAGTTGGTACGATTTCTGATACACTAGTGCTTGATGCAACTTGTGTTAACTGGGTGTACTGGCCATTAATGACGGTACCAAAGAGGAAAGACGTTAAATAAGTGGTGGTTTCATCGTATGCTTCAATAACAGCTATAGATTTGGCTAAGCCTAATGGCTGATCACCCGGAATGAAAACTTGAGTTTTTGTTGTAGAATAAGTTGGATGCGCTGGTAGACTTTCTGTAGGTTGTATTTCTTCCGAAGGCAATACAGTTTCTGATGGTTCAAAGTACATTTCTTCTTCTGTTGTGACTTCTAGGTTCTGCTCGGTAGAGTGTTCTGTCGTTATTTGATGATCTGTAGTGGAGTGTTCAGTCGTAGGATTCCCTGGTGTAGTGGTTGGTGGTTCTGTAGTTGGAGCATTGGTGACGCTTTGTTCAGTTGTTGGAACGGTCACTACTTCGCTGCTAAATACTGGATTAAATGCTTTACTCGACCTTATGTCGGCCTGCACGGTTGGAAGAGAGGTCTCAACGTTCAGGTTATGCCCAGTAACAGTTTTAGTTGCCATTCCTGGTGAATGCGACATGAATGTTTTAACAGACGTTACAACGGGCAACGAGACGTCTTCAGGTCTTAAAGTCGCTGCTCCTGAAATAGATGTCACCGGACCTTGATTCGCTGCTGCGGTCTTGGGCATAAATATGATGATGGTATTTCCGACGGTAGTAGTAAAATCAGCGAATCCAACGTAAGTGACAGTATCGAACTTTTGGAAGTCATTTTTTATTTGCACTCCACCTCTGAACAGACCTTTACCACCTCTTATTTTTTTCTCTTCCCTTTTCTCTTCCATAAGATCTGAAGAGTAACCACTGGGAGAGAATTCATTTTTGATTGTAACAGTAGGAAGATCAGACTTTGGTTTCACTTTAGCTGGTTTAAGATCTGTATTCCTCTTCACTGAATACTCCTTTTTTATTGAAACGACCGGCTGAGGTTTCTCTGTTCCTGTGCTCTCCGTAATTTCATTTAACGAAATAGGTTTTTCTTTGGCTATTACAGGTTCTGCGGTTTGAAATAGGACAGGGGTCTTTGTTGGAAGAATGACACCAGGAAGACTTGGAAAGACTAGGAAGGGCTCTTTAGTGTTCCTATTGGAGTCATAATAGACCCTGGTGCCCGTACTCAGGAGACGCGCATAGGTTCTTCCGACTGTGGTGCCTAATATTTGTGTCGCGAATTCTGTAGTCGCGCCATCGTTTACGAAGGTTCGGGCAGTTGATGAAATGATTCCTAGCGGCGATTCCCGTAACCTCCCATTCTCCTCCAAAGATAGAACAGTCACATCTAATAGGAAAGTGAAAGAGTTAGTTACAAGAGATATCTGTTTAGATTGTGAACTAACGGTGATCTCTGTTTTTAAGGACCATTTATAATATCAAATTTCCAATTTCTTTACATAATTATAATTAATAAAACATAATAATAACAACAACAATAATAGTAATAAAACAGTTGGCACCGTCAATTCACAATAAAGGATAATATAAAAAGAAAAGTAAGATTTAAGAATAATAGTTGGACATAAGGTTTAAAATTTCTATATACATTTTGAATAAAGTTCCTATAACAACGTCTGGAAAATAAAATAAAAGCATGCTAAGACATTTATGAAAAGAGGTTTGAAAATATTTATACAAAAGAAATAATACTAGCTTTTATAAAAAATGTATGAAGAGACTGCTTTCAAGATACGTTTTAGGAGTTATACCATTTAACGATTATATCTTAAATTAAAAATTTATTATTATTGTTTTCGAAAACAGTAATGATTCTAAAAAAAATATTGAAAAAGACAAATAAAGTAAAGACGAATTAAAGTTAAGATGCCCGGTCAATTTGAATTCAAGTGACTATAAATGTAATTAAAAAATAAAAAAGCTACATTTTCATAAATACTTTGAGCTTTCAAATTAAAATACTAACATAATCTTACAAAATTAGGCATAAGAAATTGTTGAAAAAACGAAAAAAAAAATTTCAATCTTATATTTTAATCATGAGTATAAATTAGCGTTCAAAAATACAATTAACATGAAATACACGAAGTTGACTGAATTTCAGGAAAAAAGTTCCGATTCAGCAACAGAACTTTTGTTTTTTCAAAATTTTGGTTTACTGGCTATTATTGGCTAATCTAAAAATTGTTAAGAGTTAAAATACTTTAAAAAAGTATGAACTATGATTCGATACTATAAGCAATTCGGAGGGTATAAAGCAATAAAAGCAATTAATGAAGTTGCAAGTTATCCTAAATTCTACTAAAGGGTCCAATTTAATGGATTAAGATTTGAATAGGTTCCTTACCTCCGTCCGTCTGCCGCCTTATCCTCGACTCCTTCTTGAGCAAATCCTCTGCAGCATCTGTAATGAAAATGGTACGTTAAATGAATTCTCCAGAAAAAAAATATATTTTTGACCATTTGTATGTATATTTAAAAAAAAATATTAAAGATTAAATTTTAAAAAATCTGATTAATGAAGCAGTGCTTGTTGTCACATGAATATATTGAAATGAAAACAACCACCATGATGTAGGTTCGGTTTGCGGTAAAGAATAACATAAAACAGTAGTTGGAACTATTTATTAAAATGTCGACGTTTCTACCGACATTATTGACATCACATGGAAATGGAGGGTTGCATTGTACCGTGTACCGTGAATATTAAAATCCATGGATA